GATGAAGCAGACCTCGTTGGCGATGGCGAAGAGGATGGTGAAGATGGCCCACAGGACGCCGATGGCGCGGGAGTTGCGCACGTAGTTGGTCTGGTAGATCTTTGCAGCCTCCGACGCGGGCAGCATGGTGGTGGCGGCGGCGGTGGCTGCGGGGGCCCCGGGGACCATCATGTACATGTGTATGTTGGTGGATGAACGCAGGAGTGTTCGCGGTGCACCACTGGATCACTTCTCCTCAGGCAGGAAACATCAGCCGCAGCTGATCGGAGAACGAAGGAGGCGCTCCTGCTCCAAGCTGCACGAGCACAACAACTTCTTCTTCTTGATTTTGTTTTTGTTTTAAAAACCCGTCACTGGTGTCCACGTCCTGGATGGGAAAGCTTCTGTCTCCATCCTCCTCTCGTTCTACTCATCACTCTGCAGAGATGGGTAGACGCGCTCCCGGAGCTTCAGCCAGCATCCGTCCGTCCATCCAGCAGAAGCCGGTGCTTTTATCCCGCATTTGTTCCCGTGGTTATTTACACAAATTGTCCGTTTCCTCTCTAATTATGCCACTGCCGCGGGGTGTTAGAATTACTGTGGTTATTATCCGGACGCAGCCGCTCGTCCTGTGTGAATCAGCGTGTGTGATGTGGTTGAATGGTCTGAGCTCGACAGCAGCAGCAGCAGCAGCAGCAGCAGCTGAGCTCCTATTGAGTTAGAGCTGGAGGAGATCCGTGGTGGATATTACAAGTCCAGCCCACATCCCTTAATCCCGGCCTGACGTGGTCATCATTAACCCGGCCACATCCTAAACAGGCGGGTTGTAAAATGTAATAATCCCCGTGTTTGTACAAACTCAGCATTCCCGCAGCCAAGTGTACGTTTAATGATGGAAAATAATGAATTCTCTATATGACAGTCACTGCATACATTCGTTTACAATTATATATATATATATATAAAAAATCGACTCGCAAAATACATAATTAGGATTAGGACATTAGACCTACGTAAGCATAAAACAAACGTGGCCCATCTTGACTAAGGCACTGCGTTCATACTGATGTGTCATTTAATCTGGGATTTTATTCAAGTTAAGGGCAAAAATATCATGTAATATAAGAATTTAATAAACTATATTCAACCCTGGACTTAATTAAATAATAATAAAGTAAATAATGAGTCAGTCCACCCTAATGTACCAAATAAATAGTAAGTCAAACCAACCAATAATCTGCTTGTCTCTGAGTTTTCAACATCAAACTTAATTCAGCTCAGTTTACACGTATTCGACATGTTTCTATAGACGTATTCGTTCCTAAACCATCCATCATATAGTCAAACGTGTGTCGGTTAAAATTTCAACGTACAAAGGTTACACGTATTCGACATGTTTCTATAGAAGTATTCGTTCATAAACCATCCATCATATAGTCAAAGATTTGTCGGTTAAAATTTCTCTTTAAAAGCTTGTTACTTGTGTTTTCTTTATTTAAAAAAATAGTTTCATTAAACTACATTACCCAGAAACCTCTCCCGATTCCTGGTTGGCTAGAATGATAGCGCGTCATTTGACGTAGCTCAATGGCGCGCGAAATTGTCATGCATTTCAGTATCGACATGTCTCGCTGACTCTGAGTTGGTCTTTAACTCGTATTTGTTTTTGAAGCGCAGTGTTTTCATATTTCTTATCTCTATGGACGAGTGACAGTTCACGACACTGTCTTCGTGCTTTGTCGACATTGTTTTGCAGCCGTTCGTCTCCTGTTGTGGAAAGAGCCGCTGAAGCTAAAGCCGGTTTAACACTGGCCCTGTTGCCGCAGTATTTGAGGCTGTTTACGACGTGAAGGACTCTGTTTTACGTTCGTTTGTAAAGGAATATTGGAATGACTTCACTGCTAGAGCAACCAGGATATGACGAAGAGAAGCTGCAGATGGTGGCAGAGCAGCTGCTCTGCAGAGAGGACCAGGCTGGACTTCTGTTGTCTCTGATGGGACAGGTACTTACTTTGGTCCTGGTCTTCCTGCCTCTCCTTTCGTCTTTCCTGTTGTCTCTCTTAGGACCACATGCATTACACACATTTTAATATACCACCACGTCTCCACCAAGTCTAGCTAAACACAGAATACTAAATAAAGAATGTATTCTTTGACTCCATTAAAGTAAGCACTAGTACCACCAGTTGTACAGGTACCATAGTTTGAGAACCAATGTTAAGGGTATTTGTCATGCCTAAAACTATATATATTTAAATTTTAAAGTTAATTAAGTGGTTTATTGTTTTTCTTTAAAGTCATGAAGTAAATTTAGGTTTTAATGGCTAAGTTTAACAATATTAACAGTATTTTTTTAGGAGGGAATAACTTTAGTTGTAATAAAGTGATGAGTTTTCTAAATTGGTAAATTATTTAAATATTTATTCATGAAAATACAGATGTTAGAGATACAGTAAATAATAATCTGGTTACTAAGGTCTTTGAATAATGTGATGTACTCTCCTTTTTTCAGCCCCAGCAGTACTGTTACCCTTCCATCTTCATCTACGGCCATCAAGCCTCAGGGAAAAGTCATGTGATGCACGTTATGCTGAAGGAGCTGGAGGTGAGAGACAAATGTTTGCAGTCAGATTCAGTTACATCCAGCACATTTAAATGATGCTACATGTTTATTTGCAGTGTCTGCACAACCTGCAAGGTTGCAGTAGTGCTTTCAAAATGAGAAATGAATTGACTTTCACAGTACAGTTATCTTTTCTCTGCACCGCAGACAGATAACAGAGGTGACAAACAATGAATCAATCGAATGTCTGCCGGTGTTTAGGATGTAAGACTTTGACTTTTTTTTTTTAAACATCTTACACAAGAGTTAATTCTTATCAATCACCAATATCTGTGCACACATCACATTCTCCTGCATCTGTCATTTGGTGCATACATACAGCTCAGCTGTATAAACAGTTAACCATTAGGCTGCTGTCAATGTAATATCCAGTATATATTAAGCGGTGTTGAATATATGTTATATTTAAATAAAACATACATAACATTTTAGTTTTGTTTGTTTTATCATGAATGTTTCATCTGTAAGGACTGATATAGTTGCAGTTTGACCAAAAAAGAAAAATAGAAAAAGAAAAGCTAAGTTGTCTCAAAAATAACTGAAGTAGCTGGCAGTTAGCTAAGGAGTAGTGCTTTGCTCCGTTTTGTTCAACTCTTCAGCTCTCCAATAACAATTCCTCCTCCTCTCTTGCAGCTGCCTCATGCCATTATCAGCTGTGTGGAATGCGTCTCCAGTTCGTTGCTCTTCGAACTTGTGCTCTTCTCCTTTTTCGGCAGCGAGGCTTCATCGCTTCTCCCTCGCTCTCCATCGTTGTCTGACTTCGTACGCATCTACAGACAGCAGTGCCTTCAGGCTCCTGCCACTCAGACCAGATACATTGTAAAAAAAACTACAGACTGACATCAGAAATAGTCAAATCCATGTCCGTTGACAAATGCCAGTGACTCACTTGTTGACTATTTTCTTGCATGTGTGTCTTAAGGTCATGGAAAAAGCTGAGCTTCTGAGAGATGCTGATGCCAATCTCCTGCCTGCTCTGCTGCGGCTTCAGGAGCTGGTGAGAAATTATTGATCAAGTGAGGTGTTTTTGGATGAAATAATAATAATTTATAAAGATTATGTCCTCCTTAAGTCCAATTTCTGTTCTCCACTGTCGGTGATTAATTTTAATTTGTAAAATCTGACTGGTCCCTGGTGCATTGTGGGTGTTAAGTGGATTCAGCCTTTATAATGTCTTTGCCCTTAAGTCCTAACACACGCAGGAGTTGGAGGTGATAATTGCAACCCACATTTTCCTGTACATGTTGAGTGAAAAGGCTAAATAAGTTTTCTCTTTCTAAATTTCAGCTTCATACTCCACTCTGATCACCCAATGCTTAAAAAAAAAACAATAATAAATAGTGATGTCCAATTTTAACTTTTTGTTGTTATCCAATATGCTGATATTGTCCAAACATTTAATTTCCGATCCCGATATCAACCAATACAGGCCTGGAAATATTTATATATGTATCTGTACAATCCACTGTATGAGTATGAGATTAGGTAAATGAGCTGCAATGCTGCCATCTAGTGACTTTCACTGTAATATACAGCCGTTTTTCCCCAAAACAATTTTTAGGGCAAACATCATTTGGCAAAACCCTGGCATTGCGTTATAGGGTTTTCAAGAAAAAAAAGTTAACGATTTTTACAGATATAATATGCTTATATTAGACATTTCTAATAATAAATAATTTGAATTGATATAGTAGTAGGGTTTTCAAGAAAAAAAAGTTAACGTAATACATCAAGAGACATTCACCCCACATCCAAAAAACAAGATCATTTCTCCCACCCCTGCTGGACAGCTGCTCCACATACACAGACAAACTCACTTTTAAAAACCCTTTCAATTTAAAATGTAACCATTGATCCTGAACACCCGTCTCCACATTCTTCTCTGTGGGATGAAATGTTAAAAGCTCAGATTCCCAGTCACACTGTGAGGATGCACAACCTCCACACATGAAGACCATCTGTCCAACTGGGGACACCAGTCGCTCTCCCACCTCCCCCTCGTCAGGCAACAATGCTCAGAGCCAGGATGAAGAGCTCACATCCTGCTGTGGTGTTTCTGTCTCGGTCTTGAACTCGTCAAACTTCTCTGTCCGTTTGTTCCTCAGGTGGAGGACAACGTCAGCGTCATCCTGCTCAGTGAAATCTCCTGGGACAAGTTCAGACCAAACACAGGCTGTTTCGAGCCACTGCTGCTCCATTTTCCAGACTACAGTAAAGGTGTCATCACCTTCTCTTTGACACACACACACACACACACACTATCATGCAAAGTTGAGGCAGCACAGCCAGAGTGTGATGTGACACTGTACCTGTGACTTTGTTCTCACACTGCAGGCAGTGAGTGTTGAGCAGCATAAATCACCACTGTATAAGTTTGAACACTGACGCTGTGAATGTGAAGTGAGAATCTCACGCAGAGTTGAAGACAAACTACTTTGTGATCTTGTAAAAAACACTTCTGCTAAATATACATGTGCATTCTGTGTGTGCATGTGTGTGCGTGTGGGCTTGTACGCGTACGTGTGTGTGTGTGTTTCAGGTGATTTGCATCAGATCTTGTCACAGGACAGTCATCCAAAATATTCAGATGATTTCTACTCCTCCTACATCAACATACTGCTGGGAGTCTTCTACACAGTGTGTCGGGACCTGAGAGAGCTTCGCCATCTGGTCAGACACACACACACACACACAGGCAGACAGAGACACACACATTCTCAACATAGTGAAGATTTTACACAACACACACACACACACACAGAAGATTTTACACTCCGTAGCTTCCTTCATTCTGGACTCTCAGCTCTTTGTTCCCACAAAGGTCAACACTGTCGGCTATTAGTCAATGGTGAAAAGTTATGAGTCACAGATTCACTGGAAGTGAAATTGGATTCAGAAATATGGCCGACATAAATATTGATGGGGAGAAAACCTCTTCTGGATTCTCTTTTGTTTTAGTTGTATATATTTGAATATAAAAAAAATAATGTAGTTCTTTAAGACAGAGCAAAGACTGCACGGCTGGCCTGATGGGTTGCTGCCTATACTGTGCTTTTCTGAAGTGACTGCATTCTGATTGTGACTGCATTGTTTTGTGTTTTCAGTGAAAGAGACCGACACACACAAGCTGTGGAGAAACATCGAGCCTCATTTGAAAAAGGCCATGCAGACGGTTTATCTCAGAGAAGTCTCCAGGTTTGTCCAACTACGTCAGTGTCGACCTGACGACCAATTGCTTTTGTCTTATTTGTGTTGCGGCTGTTGTCCTCGTCGTCATTGTCGTTGTTTCCTCTGTTTTTCCCCCCCAGTGTTCAGTGGGAGCAGATGCAGCAAATGGAAGAGAAGGAAGCTGGAGCTTTGAGAGGTAACAACTCACCCGACGCATGATCATCACTTTCATCACTGACGTCATGTGACTGAGAAGCAGATGCTCAGCTGTGATGTGCTGTCGTGAGACTGCTAATTATTAGGTTCACTGGTGGAAAAAGCATCATTTGAAAAGCAAAGTTTAATCTCACTGGTTTGTGATACTAGTTTGCATAAATGGTGTGAACACCAGTGTCAAACTAAACTTATCTTTTTCAGTAGCATCTGTGCAGTATTTTTAATCCTCAGCTCTCTTTAGAGTTTATGGTAAAGAAAAAGCAACATATCAGTAAATGGTTTAAAGTTTATAAACATGGCCTGCAGATGGCGCTCTCAAGACATTTAATGTGTTGTTTTCCGTGCAGGAACAAGAAATAAAATAATTTTTGGTGACCAGGAATTGTCCAAATGCTGGGTGCCCCAAAATGATGCCCACATTTTTAAATACACAACAGAAATGTAAATCTTTTGCGTCTACAGATTCCCACATCTGTGATGAAATTACAAATCAGTGACATCTCTCCACTGTGGGACAAATAAAGAAGACATGAAATAAAATTGAGTTTTTCATGCTGCTCTCTCTCTCTCTACAATAGTACCACCACTTCTTGGGGCTGCGCCCCCCATTTTGGAAACCACAGGCCTTAGCCCATTTGCAATACATAGTTTATGAAACTCATTTTACATTTTTTTAAAGCACTTTAAAAAAATGCAGAAACATGTATATGTACTGTATACACAAATATACTATACTGTATTAGCCAACATAATAATACTGGTTGCTTTGACTTCGTTCTGTCTTCCCTCAGGTTTATCCGCTCACACCCACGTTGAACTTCCGTATTACTCAAAGTTCCTGCTGGTCGCTGCCTACTTGGCCTCGTACAACCCAGCCCGCACAGACAGGCGCTTCTTCCTCAAGGTTGGACCGTTTTTTATTTTTTTTTTTTTTTTATGTAAATAACCAAGAGTGATGGAAGATATGCCGTGACAAACGTCCTCTGTCAAACTGCTCTATCGTCTCGTTTTCATAAGTGATACGTGAATTCTGATTGCACACGGTGCAAGCGACAACTGTGTCAGTCAGTATTTATCTTCTGGAATATTATGCTGTCTCTTTGGAATAAATTAATATTCGGTCGTTGTCGCAGTGGGACAAATGGTGTAATGTTAGAGGAGGACGATCACTCACTGTGAGTTGTATTGATTTTGATTAGCTTGATCAGTTAAAGTAGGAACACTGTACGAAATGCAGTAGGTGAGATGAACCAATTGGTCTTCAAGCTGTTTACTGTAAAAGTAAATAAGGTTATTCTTGTCTTTTATTCCAACAGCATCATGGCAAGATAAAAAAAACAAACTTCTTGAAGAAAAACGAAAAGGTAAATATATGAAAATTACTTAATTCTCACCTTAATTCATGCTAGCTTGCAAAAATAATGTAAATGTCATCATGATTCAGACGAGTAACCACCTACTGGGGCCCAAACCCTTTCCTCTGGACCGTCTGTTGGCCATTTTCTACAGTGTAGTGGACAGTAGAGTCGCCCCCACCGCCAGTATCTTCTCCCAGGTAAGAGTCTTGAAAAACTGTCTTGACTGAAATTATGAAATTTTTGCATTTTGCTAATAAAAAACTGTCTTGACTGAAATTATGAAATGTTTGCATTTTGCTAATAAATGAAGATTTCTGCACAATGCACAATTGTTAAAAAAAAAGATGTTATTTGTTAACTTATTCGTCATCATCAAGTGCATTCAAATCAGTCCTTGGTTATTTCGTCATACTTTATGGTCTGTCAAGTCTGATAGGCAGATTTAATTTTTTTCACCAAATGCTCATAAATTTTAGGTTTTATGGTAAGAAAATGATTTTGAAGAGTTCCCTCAAAAAATTATAAAACCATCACGACGAAGCTTTGCAAAAATCCTTTAAACTAAACTTGAAAAAGGAGGAAAACTGAATGAAATTCATGCAGTAAAAAGGGTATTAAGTATTGGGTACATTTATGACCCTGAGCATAAAATGGTTTTAGAAAATGTAGGTCAGACCAAGGCACCATGGGGATATTTTTTCTAATCTGCATTCACGTTAGGAAACTGACAGTGTTTTGGTTTCCCTCTCCCTCTCTGTCACACCTCTAGATCTCCTCTTTAGTGACTTTACAACTGTTGACTCAGGTCAGTCACGACGACCAGCTCGATGCCCCAAAGTACAAATGTGCTGTTTCTCTGGACTTCATCTGTGCCATTTCCAGGTGTGTGACCATGTCTGTTACTTCAATAGATAATATTATTGTTATTTTACTATTCCTAGTGTTTTGTCTTTGCAGTAATTGTTAGCACCGAGATAACTGTGTCCAACTCAGATATACAGTCTTCTATTTTTGGACATAACGTCAGACTCTGAAAACTGAGAATTTGCTCCTTGATTTTATCTTTTTTTCCTCCAGGACTGTGAACTTTGAAATTGTCAAGTATTTGTATGACTTCCTGTGACCATGGAGTGTGTGAAGTGACAACATCAAGATGGAGAAGAGAAGACAGATTTATTGGAAAAAAGAAATGGGAAGAGGAGTGCACTTAAACATGTCTGCCACAGTTTGTTAGGATGTTTTTTGTTTGTTTGGTTAAACTACATTAAATTTATGCTTTTGTAATAAATGAACACTCTTTTGTCTATTTGTGTAAATTAGCTAGTTACTATTTATTCATGCTATGCATAGCCCTCAATTTGTAGTAAATGAAGAACAGCAAAGTTTAGCTACATAAATAAAAACAAAACAAAACTCTGTAGTATTATGATGGCAGTCGACCTTCACGGGTCCTCATTTATCACGCAGTGCTAAAAGCTAAATGTATTCACTTTGTATTATTTTCATCTGACGTGAAGTGATCACCAGGTAAGTGAATCATTGACCTTGCTCTGAGGGAGAATGTTGTTTACCTAATGTGTATTTATGCTGTAAAAGGGAAGTGAAGTCAGCAGTAGCATTTCTATGTAGAAGGGGAAAAATATTTCACATTTTTCCAGCCTTTTGGAAAGCTAGAAAATGAAGTTAGCCGGTTAGCTAGGTTGAGAAACAAACAAGCATTTGGCATATTTAATACTGTCTTTCCCCATTTTTTTATTACCCAATCAACATACTAGTATTGTTATTTAAGCAAGAATTAAATATATATGTATTTAATGGTGGCTTTAATGTGATGCTCATTCTGTATCAGCTCAGTAGGAAATCTTGGAGCCGAAAACTTGGACAACTGTAAGTTCAAACCGAGTTAATGGCAAATAATTACATATAGTAATGTGTTTGCAGCTCCCCTGCAGGGGAGAGAAGTGAGTGCTCTTTCAACATTAACGAAAATGTTCTTGCATATTTTACATGCAGACATGTTAAACAAACATGTTAAACAAACACGATCTTTTAAATGTTTCAATCTATTGTAGAAAGAGGCAGAGAGAACATTTCCATCTGACAGAAGGCACCAGTCCTGCACGGCTCGCAAACACAAATATCATCTACGTCTGCATTTTTATTTATGCTAAATAGGAAACAAATCACTCAGCCGTAGAAGCACACACACACACACTGTCCACTTTTTACAAAACCACAAGTCAGGAGTTGGCTTCTTGCCTCGTTTTATTTTATTACAAACATTTACAAAAAGGATACAAAATAAAATGTAGAATAAATATTGTGTATTTTTATTTTCAGTCTCCTTTTCAACGTGTGCTGCCTCATGTTGCACAGGTCACTGTGGGTAAGAAGGGGTGAGTAATGTGATGCAGATTCAGAATAAAGGGATTAAAATAATAAAACAGTTAATTGTTGAAGTCACTGGTGTTGTTTGTGATAGTCACTCTACCTCTGTCTCTCCCTCAGATGTTCCTCGCAGGTGTCTGGGAGACAAAGTGGCCGTAGGGGATCATCTCTTACACTGATGAGGCCTAAATAATCTCAACATCATTAGACAAGGACAAAGGCTGGTAGGCAAAGTTGACTGAGTCATCCAGATGGATTTAAAGTGCTTCACTTTGTTGTTTTCAGTTTAGTTTTTCAGATATGAATTTTAAAAAAATATATACCATGGTCATGTGAAACTACAGTGTCCTCAATCTTAATAGAAATCTCTGCCTATAAACGACCGTCGTATCCCAGGCCGACACACCGAGGTCCTGGGGTCAGATCAGGAGTCAGAAATGAAGGATAGTTGGGACTCAAACGCTCTGTCTCCTGTTGTGGATCACGGCCATGATGTGACTCAGATCCAGGCTTTTTATCATCACCTCCATGAAGTCGTTGTCCCCCCGAGCTCCGGCCACAAACTCCTCCAGAGAGAGCTCTCCTAAAGGTAGGAGACAAAGACGATTTATGAAAAATAAAAACTTACATTAGGAGTTGGAAACCGTATTCTGCCAGAAGGCAAAACGGTAAACGCTAGAGCTCCACCTACTGTCCATGATGCACATACGTTTAGTTAGGGACGTGTAGGAGCAGATTTTATTTTTCTTCTTTTTTTATTATTATTATATAATATTTATGTATGCTAATTTGTTGCCTTTTCTCTTGGCTTTTCAAAGGATGTATTTATTTTATTTATTCTTTAAGTACAGTATATTTCTATAGTTGTTTTTCTTAGTTATCATTGGCTAATTTTTTGTAAAAAAAAAAAAAATTAAAGTTGGGGTTTTTTTGGCTAACCACTTTGACTATTCAAAGCAACTTTGGACAAATTTATACTGATTCAAGTTATTTTCAAGTTTTCTGATTCAAGTGCTGTGCTTGTTTTCATGTCACAAATTTATACTGATTCAAGTTATTTTTCTTAAAATGTTATAAAGTGCTGTACTTGTTTTCATGTCTGACTTCCTTTTTTCTTGTGTTTTTTTTTTCTGAAATTTGATGAATCACTTATCAGACCTTCAGCTGCTGCTTTGGCTGTCTGTCTGAAATGTGTCCCAAAAAAAGGGCCCCGTGTTAACAAGACACTTGTGACATACTGACTGAATGTCCTGAAGTGAAGTCTTGAGAATTACAGGAGGCCTTTAGCAGAGCTTCCGCAGCTCCTCTTGACAAACAGCAAATGTTTTTCCTCAAACCTTCCTTTCATTTCACAATCACAGTCTGGATTCAAACTATTTCATCCCTGCCACTCACCATCTCCATTTATGTCAATCCTGTCAAACACACGGTTGGTGAAATCCTCTGCTGAAGTTTCATCATTTTCATTTCCATTGATGGCACGAATGGCCTGCAGGAAGAAAAAACGCAAAATGGAGTCACTGTCGACATCCAGAGGGATCACCGTTTTTGGTGCTTTGAACGACAGAACGCACCTTTATGATGTTGAGGAGCTCGTGTCTGTCAATGCAGCCATTTCCATCCACATCGTACAGTTTGAAATACCACCGCAGCTTGTGCTCCATCTTCCCTCGCATCACCAGGCTCAGGGCTGCCACATACTCCATGAAGTCGATGTAACCGTCCTGCAGGGGAAACCACCGAGCCTTCAGAACAGTACCCTGAATCATCCATGTATCGAGCTCTCATCTGAAGTTTCAGACTCCAGGGAAGAATAAGCCCTCCTTATCTCAGCTCCAGTGTGTAAAAAAGAAACGTGGCAGGACTGAGGATTATTCCAGGAATCTTCTGTGTCTGAACACAGGCATCAGTCTAGACATCAAAGTCTTGTCTTGGGGATAATCTCACAGTTTAAATCATGCACAAAGATTAGCTCAGCCATCAGCTGAAGGGGAGAATGAATGTAGATCAGCAACATCTTCCCACTGATAAAGAATTAATGGAAAGAATGTAGGAAGTTGGTCTATAGATGTCACTACTCTGCTGTTAATGATCATGACCTCAACCAGACGCTTCAGAGATGATGCTGGTGTTAATAACTCTGACTGACTAAAAATTCAGGGGAAAATACATCAGATAAGATGGACCTATGGTCTAATTTTCCAACATTTTCTCTGGACAAACATCAACAATTGATGATGTGGAAATGATTATTAGTTGCAGTCAAGTCCTGTATAACCAGATTGTGTCGACACATGTTGGTTCCTTACTGGTTTGATAACATTTCATTTTTTTGCCCCGTTTTGTTTTTTTTATGGTAACATTGTAACCAGAAATATCATCTTTTTTTTCAGAACCACTAAAATAACATTGATGGATTTCAACACCCAACAATGAAACTTAGGTTTACTGAACAAAGGACAAACTCATCAACTCATCAAGTCAGGTCTGAACAAAGGACAAACTCATCAACTCAACAAGCAGGCTAAATCACCTTTTATTCTACAGCCAGAGTGCACTGAAGTTCTAAACGTACGTGATCTCACCTTGTTCATATCAAAGGTTCTGAACATCTGCTCGATGTAAGCGCTGGCCTCTGGGTCCAGACCCTGCAGCCCGAAGAACTGCTTGAACTCATGCAGGGTGAGCTGCCCAGAGGGACACTCCGTCATGAACTTCTTGTACCACAGGTGCATCTCCACCGCCTGCAGTTCATCTATGGTGCTTCCTGTTGAATTTCCCATTTTCTTCAAATCTGGAAAAACTTGCAGCCGGCAGACCGACCCGTCAGTCCAAAATTGGTCTACTGCGAAGCAGAGGTCCGCTCCACTTCCCAGTCACACAACAACTGGACTGAAGGCGCGAGCTGCAGCAGAACAAAAGTCTTCTTGTAGGTGTCTGCGTTTGGGGTCGAGGCCATTGTGTCCTACTTTGGTCTAATCGCTGCCTGTAATCCAGTCAAACCTGCAGGTGATCGGATTAATGAGCTGTTAATAGGACAGGTTGAGTGGTCCACTGACGTCCACTGAGGTTATATGTGCTGACCGTCAGTCTGGATTTCATTCCTCACGTGGCAGAGACAGTCATGCACCTGAAGTGATGGGTCCAGTTAATGCGATTAGAGACAGACAAAAACAAATAAAGGACATAATTAGTGTCCATGTCTTCATCCAGTTGGATACCTCTACTGTTACGGTTACCTACACCTTCATGAGCTCTCACGCTTTTCCTCCTGCCTTTCCTAGAAAACCACCACTTTTCTGAGGTCAAGTCCAAACCGTCTCAACCTTCATCTCCAAGCTGTTCTTTGTGCTCATTATCAGCGAGGATCTCTCACCTCTCTTACCGACAGACTGTCCCCAAACCATGTGGTGGTCTCAGTGTCTGATAAAACCTTTCTGTCAATCTTGCTGTTATCCTTCAAGACACGTCCCTCCAGTCACGTGTCTTTATCCAGACATGTCTGGAGACAGGTGTCTCCATCTAGTTCACCTTGTCTCCATCTGCATCTGGTCTCCATCTAGTCTCTCCGTGACCTTTCTTTCTGCTCTGTCTAGTGTTTTGATGTCCCAGATAGTGCCAGGTACTCGAAATTATCCACCATCAAGGTGTCATTCAACTATAGATTAAAACAGGCACATTGACCTTTGTGAATAAAAAAAATATATTTTATTTGGACACTACAGAGTAAATCCAAGACTACATGAGACATTGTTTAATAACACAGTAGTTCAACAGACCATATAAGCACAAATTTTGAAATTAACATAAAAACTTTTTATTTATGCTAAATCATGATTTAGATTTTTTACTATTAGCTATGAAATAATTCTTCAGATATATGTGTCAGTGCTCAACTGCATACTAAAAATGCTACAAACTCATAAATGCTGATAAAATTAAAGTTAAAAAATAAAAACCTGTTGTTTATATACGTAGATGTATATGCAAAAAAACATGTCTTCATGTTAAACTTGAAAAATAAAGATGTATAAAAATACATTTTGTTGCTACAATGATGCAGTTCCTTCAATGTAGTGTTACATTTCATGTAAAATATGGCACCATATATACGTACATACAGTATTCATGTTTTAATGTAGTTTCTTTTACAGGAATCAGGGACGATGGTAGTGTTTGGAAGATTAAAAACAATTTTCAGTCTAAAGAATGTATGTATATGAATGTATTTTTTATATATATATATATAAATGTGTTTGATGTTCTGATACCAAAATGTTTCAATTGATTGACTCCTTTGATGATGTCATCACCGAGTCGTAGTTTGTCATCAGTTGATGCTGAGACCAGAAATACTAACCATCGTACTGGACTCACCATGGTTTTTACAAATTGACCCATCTTTAGATGTGAAAGGCTCCATCCAATTTCAGTTTTGTCTGAATTATCATTCAGCCTTATTATAAAAAAACATCTGTTCTTACAGCTTGGTATGTTTAGTGTTCTTTTGGAACCTCAGAAAACCAATGCAGAGCTAACTCTCTTCCAGTATGGGTTCAAATCCCAGAACTAATAATGAAGCCTGAGTCTCTGTGAATGTTGTCGGCCTGCCAGACATGTTACAGTATGCACAGGAAGGCTGCTTCTCAAAGTCATACAATGGAAAATGACCCGTAATGGCTAGATCCCAAGAATGTTACATCATCACACTGCACCAAAGGACTTACTCCATTTCGAAGGATGCTCAAAATTCTACAAAGTACAGTGGATTCAGGGAAGTGTATCCTAAAAGCGGTTGAAGAGTCCAATTAGTAGAAGCTTGAGTATAATCCCTAGGAAATCATGCAAACAAGTGCCATTCATTAAAAAAGGGACCGTTCTAAGCAAATGTGAAGTTTTCTTCTCTTCTCAGGAAGTTCTCTTTGACTTTGAAAACATCCAAAGTCTCTGTAGTTACTTATCTCTCAGGCCCCAGCAGCAACACTCCTCCTTCTCCCCCACGGCAGGTGTCTGTAGATGGAGTCAAACGCTGACACTGTGTAGCGTGCAAACAGGCTGGTCCACTTCCCCACCTCTGCCGTCCACTGCACTGTGCGGCCCACGAAGGCCACAAACACAGTGATGTGATGAGCCAGCAGCAGTAGACTCCTCCCCAGCTGCCTGCCGTTGTTGATGATCAGGGTGACTCTTTTGTCGTGAACCGCCATCTTTATCTTACAGTATTGGAGCCCAGTCAAATGTTGTGGATATTTGAAGTGAGTCAAGGTTCCAGTTTCAATGCATAAAATTATGCAACAAATATTTGTTTTCTTAGTGGTGCAGATGTGTCAAACCTTGTGCAAACTGGCTCATGAACATTTTTCTCAAAGTGCGTTTACAATTTTAAATACACATTTTTTTACTAAACATAGTTTTACAGATGACCCCTAAACTGGAACCTAAGTGTTGTAGAACTTGCAGTCACTCCCTTACGTGCAGATGTAGGCAGTCCAATCAGCGCAGAGGAATATCCGCTTCCGGGAATGTTTGGTGATGTGGCTATGCTCTGAAATCCATCCGAGGAATTTTTACATATAAAGCCAGATACTTTCACCTGGAGTGCACAAACACAGGTGAGTTCTACAGCATAAAAAAATGCTACCGTGTCAAAACTGCGTTTCAGCACTGTCACATGAAAAACGGTTTCAAAATCTCCAGAAGAGCAGCTTTTAAAGAAGACGTTCTTGTTTAGGAGTTGTTAGCATTAGCCTGCTTAGCTAACTTGACTGTGCCATGGAAAAGTGCAGTCGCAGAGTAGAAGAAAGGATGTTTTTCCAGCACGTATCCTGTTCTCGCCACCGTTTCGTCGCCTACGATTTCGTCCACACGGAGCTGATGTCTAGTCTCTTCTAATGTTAACCGTCCATTTTGGGTTTAGCTTCGTTTAATGTTTGCTGTGGTCACAAAAAGGGTGACGCAGCCGCAGTTGTCTCGTATACTGCTGGTTCGGAAAGGTTCGACACATCTCGGTTCGATTCGGAAACGAGGGGCTAGGGATTATCTGACAGTGTGTTGCTCTAGAGACGACGCGACAAATAATAAAAAAGAGCCTTTTGTGTTTTTCAACTGACATTTTTTATTGCTGTAAACTCTGAGCAACAAGTTTATCTAGTTTCTTGCACCGTGTGTTCACACAAACATGTTTAAAATACTAGTCCATAAGATAAAGAAGGACAGGACTGCAACACGATGTATTTTCACATCTGTGTCTTTAAACATTTTTCAATTCACTGGTGTGTGTGTGATATATTGTGGTTTGGCATCTAATGCTATTTCTGACTTTCCTGACCGACTGCCACAGTGGTTCTTTTGTTTTTCTGGCACAGTTTTAATGCTGAATGTCTTTCCTGATGCAACATTCATTTTTGAGGGATTGGATTTCAAAACAGGGTGTTGATTTGACTCCATAGGCATTCTAATAGATAAAAAAAACCATACAACTATTTTGTTTATCTACAGATGTGACCTTGTTTTTCAATTTGCAAAAACAACTTCCCCTGAGACCTTTATGAAAATATAAAGTTATATAACAAGTTATAACTGAAATCAGACAGCTATTGGTGCTGAAGCCTCATATGAATAAAGTTGATGTGTTTTATCACAAAATAATTTTCATGTTTTTTTCTTTAAGCCTTTTCCCCTTTAATTTCACCAAAGTCAATGTTACTGTTCCATCTTTCAGACCAGTTTGAGAAACATTTGCCCATATTGTTGAAAAAAAAAGGGATTTAAATGTGATTCTTGACACTTGTAACTACTCGCAGTTCATACTGTCAGTTTCTACATTTAGGGAAAACTCCATTTCACTGTCTGTCATCTCTTTAGAGCAGCTCTTGAAGGGAGTTGATTAGAATTGTTTCTTTACTGTCACTCCTGCATCACAAACAAAAATTCTTGAAGGGAGTTGATTAGAATTGTTTTTGGTGTCAAATCTATTAGAACAAACTAAAGTGCTTTACTGTCACTCCTGCATCGCAAACACAAATTAAATAAACAGGATTTGAACTGTGTGTTGGTACCGCCTTTGTTAAGGTGTGTCGTTAAGCATCAATGACAGGTGCCGTCATGGTGTAAGGTCATGTTGACTCGTCTTGCATCAAAGAGTAACTCCGTCTTCAACTCAGTATTATTGCAGTCATGAATTAAAATGTTCATAATGTTATGTCTGAAAAAACTTTAAGCACATATTTCCAACCTCTTTCTCCACAGAGGGCTGCCTTCATGTTGAGCCGTCTGGCCAACGTTCTCCAGGAGCTGTCTGGAGAGGAGGGGGTGGATGGAGAGCCACAGGTGAGTGGACAATAAAGTCGTGTCACTCACAGTTGAGCAATTGTTTTATGTACATATGAGATATAACTCCCGACCAGTATATTCAGATTAATCCTATGGAACAATTCACTTGATAAATGTTGATAAATGTAACTAGAACAGTAAAACTTTAAGTAAAACATAAGCCTCTGACCTTAGTGAAAGCCTGAAACTAACTGACTAATATTGGCCATGAAATATGTTTTTTTAAGACCAGCGTGCCATACATAGTACATCACCGTAGAACTGCATGGAATGCAGTTTCTCCGCAGGTCCTGTTGTTGTGTCTGTGTCTGAAACAGCTGCAGAATGTCAGAGAAAACATTGATCTCCACTTCTTTAGAAAGATATCTGGTGAATCTGTCAGCAGAAAGTTAACATTCAGGTTTAACACAAATGACAAGGATTATCATCACCTGAGTTCACTATAAATGAGTTAACTCACACAGCATTCTGATCCACGGCTTAAATAAAAGAACCGTCTCTGACTGTTGCCGTCTTGCCGAGTTGAGAACAACCGATCCTGGTGTCGTTTCCACAGTTTGATCATGTCTAATGTTTTTGTACAGGATTTGTTGGTGCCTCAACTCCCTGGAGGTGAGGACCAGGCCACAGTGGAGTCTGAGGCCCCGGAGGAAACCATGGAGAGACTGGCTCACCTGGAGCAGCTGGTGGTCCAGCTGAAGGAGCTCATCCGAGACAAAGACAGTCAGTTGGTCCAGAAGGATACAGAGCTGAAGAACAAAGATGCTCAGCTCAAGGTGCTCAAAATTCCCCAGTTTTCTTTTTTGCTTCTCCAAAAGTTTTTTTTTACTTTCAAAGAGATAATAGTTTTGTTTTGTCTTTTGTGTCAGAATGAAAAAGAAGACGCCGAGGCTCGATTCACCAAACTTAAGCTGCAGGCAAAAGCGAGGATGGCTTCTCTCAACAAACAGATTGCTGAGTTGAAAGGATCAGGAGGAGAAACTGTAACAGTGAGTTAAAAGCAGAAAATCTCAGAATTGTGTTTGTGGAGTGAATGAAATTCCTCCTCTGGTCTGTTCTAATCTCAATAAAAGTCAAAAATCCATCTCATCAGTTTTTATCTGACTCCAGCATCTGTATCGTCTGCAGCCGAGCCCAGACACCTCTTTTACAGCAGCTGGGGCAGCGGTGGAAGAGGAGCTCCAGGATTTGAAGAACAAGTTGATCCAGGAGGAGACCAAGAACATGGAGCTTCAACAACTACTCCAGACCAGCAAAGATATTCTTCAGGAAAAGGAATCTGCTCATGCTGAACAGGTGACAGACTGGCAGTCAACAGACAACACATGGCCCTTGAAAATGTTCTCACAAATCACCTGTCAACTTTATGTTTTTTGTTTTTCAGCTGCAGAAACTGCAGGCAGTGGTGTGTGAGAAAGACGTGAGATTCCAGGAGCAGATTCAGAAACATGAAGAAGAGCTGATGAAGGTCACATTGCAGACTCAAAATGATGGAGAACTCATGGAGGTGAAAACATGACCCTGTTTATATGCCTTTGTGTTCTGTGTATCTGTATGTATGTAAGTTTGAATGCACATATGTATATATCTGTAATACTGTATATATATCTATACACACATGGACATGTATGTGTGTACATATAAATGAACATATGTAAATAATTTACATTATTTCTGTTAAATATTTTTGTAATAATAATAATGATATTAAACATTTAAATGCATATATGTGTATATATGTATAATATGTGCAAGTATACATGTATATATTTATGCGTATACAGCCTATGTATATGTGTGTGTTTAAATATATATTTATATTTATGTATTTAAGTATATATGTATTAGAAATAAACATGAATGAGGGAATAATAAGTCATCAGGCAGCAATAAAAGGATGGCATCGTGATCATTTTCACCTTCGTTTAAAAAGATAAAGGATGTCGTTATTGTGCTTACACATCTGGCAAAGAAATTGAAAGATTTTTTTGTTGCCTTTTTTCCAGGCATTAACCTCAGCTCAGCGGCGTTGTGAAGAGCTCGAAGAGACCTTGATGTCTCGTGCTCACGTGGTGGAGGTGCTGCAGCAGGAAGTGAGCAGCGCTGATCAACAGAAACAGGTACAGATCCTGTTGGACCACATGCCTTATTACCAACATTCCTCATTCTGCTGGATATGTGTTTGTAATCAACATGCTTCTTTCAAAAAGAAAAGAAAACTATTGAAGGGTGACACACCCCAGATGGTTGTTTATTTTTAGCCACTTAACTAATTCTTGCTTTCTGTGCTCAGATACTGACTGCTCAGTTCCGGCAGATGGAGCAAGAGCTGATGGAGGCCATGAAGCTGAGGGAGGAGGAGAGGGAGCAGTGGTCCAAACAGACAGACCTGACCAACGCAGAACTTGCAGCTTTGCGATCCAGCGTGGAAGCATTTGAAAGAGAACGAGCAGAGATGTTGAGGCAAGCAAGCGAGCTGATCTCCCTCAGAGAGGCAGAGCGTGGTCATCAGGAGGCTCTGGAGAAGGAGAAGATGGAAGTTTCCAGACTGGAGAGTGAACTGGCCTTGTCCAAGGAAGCTGAGCAAGCGGCCATACAAGCGAGTCATGATGGTACGGAGAGACACGCAGCAGAAATATCTCGGCTGGAGAGCGAACTTGCATCTTTGAGAGACCTTCACAGCAGCCAGGACACGTCAGAGAGGCAGAAATCAGAAACTGACCGACTGGAAAGAGAGCTGCTGTCACTTAAAGAAAAACAAGAAGATGCTCAGAAGAAGGAAGAGATTTTGGTTAGAGTTTGGAGACATTTACAGTCACTCACAATATCTGAGGAACCAGCAGAAGAGGAGAACCTCGTCCCTGAAGACCTGTCTCTGCTCCTGGACACCGTGCAGTCTCTCGACAACCAGCTGACGACGCTGAAAGAAAAACAGATCCAGAGTGAACAACAGTGTACAGATCTCACCCACACCATGGAAACTCTGCAGGGTGAGAACATCCATCTGGTTGTTTTTGTGTGTGGGATTGAGTGCATCTCAAATCAAGTCTCTGCATAATGGTGCTTTTTCTTTTGTCCAATTTTAGAACAACTTGAAAGAAAAAACACAGAACAGGAAGAAGCAGCGACCAAGATGCTGCAGCTGGAGGAGCAGATAATGACGGTCAGTATCTAGGTAGCTGATTATTCACTTTGATCAAAAAGAATTTTGATTCACTCTTATGCAGTTTCACATTTTTTTCCTTTTTATTTCAGCTGTCACAGAAAAATGATGCAACTGAATCTTCAACACAAAATCCATCTGAAACTGACAAAGGTGAACACACTATATTCTTGATTCATTTCAAGATTTTTGTGATTTTTTTTTGCACGTGATTCATGTGTTTATATTTGAACAGATCTGTGGTCGTAAATATTAGTTTATGGAAATTATTGATGGAAAGATACAATATTGCGTCTTATGAAGTATTTCTCTTAAACTCTGCTTTATTTTTATTTTTTTTCATTTTTTCACCATTTTGTTTGACTATAATTGTTTTATCTTTGTTGTTATTTGTTAACCTTTAGGTTTTCTTCATTTTCTGGCCAGTCTCAGTTTTAATGACTTATCAGCTGATTGAGTTAAAATATTTCCAATAATAAAAGATTTAAAACTAGCTATTAAGGTCACTTTTTAGACTTTTGCTGGATTATTTTATTGTTTTTAGCAGAATACAAACTGGTTGTTTGTTTTGATTTTATTTATTCTAGTTGTAGTAACATCTGCAATTGTATTATTATATCCACAGCACACATACTGGAGCTGGAGCAGCAACTATTAGAAAAAGACATTGAACTGGCAGCCTTACGAGTATCTCGCGCATTAGCTAAACACCAGAGCCACACTGAGTCTGGGGAGACCCATGACCAGGATCCAGGCCAGGACCAAAAAGCCAGTACAGACCACCATGACAGTTCTGCTGCTGTTCCTGACGTCATGGAGGAAACACAAGAGGAAGACAACTGACGTCATGGAGGAAACACAAGAGGACACCACCCTAGTGGCCGAGGACACCTCTGTCCTTTCCGTCTCTGCCGATAATGAAAGCAGTCCAGAACTTAGTGGAAATCAGTCCGAATCGCCGGAAGAATCCAAAGTGACCTCCTCAGATGAGATGGTCACCAGTACTGATTCAGAGGTGGCCCACAGCAGCTGGACCCTCTTAGAAGCTGTGAATCAAGATGGAGGCCAGGAATGGCCCTCCACCCTGCAGGACTTAGGCCATCTGCAGCTGCAGTCGTGGGAGACCACCAGCATGGAGCAGGAAACGTCTATGGTTCAAGTTGAATCGTCCTCTGTCATCATCAGAGAGACTGTCCAGGTTCACGTTACTCAACAGAGCTCGCCCTCCACTGATGCTGCCGTTTCCTCCGGCCTGGTCTTTGCTGAAGCTTTAGCCGAGGAGCTTCAGAAGAAGTATAGTGAACTCCTAGCTGAGCTACAGAATCTGAGAGACGCAGCTGCAGAGTCACAGGAGAAAATCAGAAATCTGGAGGAGGAAGTTTGTTTTTTGACAGCTGCAAAAGAAGCAGCTGAGTCTCAGGCTGATAAGTTTGCTGATGAGCTTCAGTCAACCAAAGTGGAGTTGGAGAGTGTTTCCCAACAAAGCAGCTCAGTGCAGGAGAAGCAAAGGACTGAAATACAGCTTCTGGAAGAACAGGTAGAGATTTTGAGCAGCGAAAGAAAAGCCAAAGTGGAGAAGATCCAAAGTCTACAGAGTGACTTGGAAACAACCCACCAAGCTTTGTCTGAGCAGGATGGACAGGTCAGAATGCTGAGTGCTCAGCTGGAGGACAGAGAACTCCTCACCTCTGAGCTGGAACGAAAACTACAAGACATTGAAGGCAGTCTAATGGAATACTCCCAGACTTCGGATCTGAACAATGAGACTTTGTCAAAGAAGGACTCAGAGATCAGCGACCTACAGCTCCGTCTCAGTCAGAGAGAACAAGAGATGATGGAGCTTAATGACAGCATGTCTGCCAAACTTCTTCAGGTAGAAGAAGAGAAGTTCCACAAAGACTGTGAGGTCAATAAGCTAAGAGAGCAGATGGGGGAACTGGAGAAAACAAGGGTAGAGAAGGAAGACTCTGGTGCTCATGTCGACGATGAGGGTTTGCGAAAGGAAAAGGAAGAGCTGGAAACCCAACTAACAAACATGAAGAAGAAGCTCCAGGCATCACTGGTGCAACGCAAAGAACTCATGAAGAAGGTTACAAACCTTGAGGAAGAAGTCAAGCAGCAGAAAGAGCGAGATGAATCTGCACAGAAGGAAATCTCTGCCAGTGCTCCAGAGGCAGAAGAATCCAGAGGACATGACTATGAAGTGATGGAGGCTAAAATTCTGGAACTTGAACAAGCTCTAGGATCCAAAGAGGAAACACTGGCAACTCTAGAGCAGAAAATTAGTGAGCAGAATCAAATCATTGCAGATACACTAGCACGGAATAAAAAGCTGAGCGAAGAAGCTGAAAATGGAGAGCAGACGTTTGGCGGCACTTCCGAAATAACCGTTTTACACACGCGGGTAGCCACACTGGAGACAGACTGTGAGACACTTCAGAAGAAGGTTCAGGAGGCACAAGAGTCCCGCAAAGACACTATCAGAAAAGCAAAAGAAAAAGACAGACACCATCGGGAACAAATGAAGCAGCAGAAAGAGGAATACAATGAGTTAGTGGAACGTTTTGAGGCGCAGGTATGTGAGAGAGACACTCTTCTTACCAAACTGCAAGAATTAGAGGATAGAGTTATCTGTGGACAAGAAGATCTGACTCACAGTGGTGCACAAAAGTTGACCAAAAGTATGGAGAAGCATGCAGCCGGTGAGTGGGTCCAGGAGGACTGGGTGGACTTTTCTACAGCCGATGCTGAGCCATCACAGCCGCCAAAACACCAACAAGTTCAGCCCAAAGAGGCAGCTGACTCCCAATCTGCACAAATGGAGGAACAGTTAGAAGTTCTCAGAAAAGAGATCCAAGCTGTTCAAATGGCAAACACAGAGCTGGAGATGCAACTGCAGGAAACTCAGGCCAGGCTGCTACGGAAGGAGACTGAAGTTCTGGATTTAAGCAAGGAGCTGGAAGCTCTGAGAGAAAAGGACAAACAAATTGAAGCACTATCAGAGGAAGTGAGTGATCTCAGAGAAAAATATCTCCAATCTCAGACTTATGCGGAAACCATAAAAGCTGAAATGGAAGCTGCAACCAAGGCCACATCGTCAGAATCTGCCTCTTCCATTGCTGCTCTCCAGGCTGAAGTGGAAGGTTTCAAACAGTTCCTTGACCGTAAGAACCAAGAGATATTGGGACTCAGTCAACAGCTGAGTGAGCAGAACTCTCTCATTCACTCCATGCAGGCCACAGTTTCTGAGAAGGATCAACTGATCGCATCTTTACAGGAAGAATTAAAGGTTGAGCAGGAGAAATCCCAAAGGTTAGAAGTGGAGGTTCCACAGAAGCAGGAGGAAGGCAATGAGGCCAAGGTGAAGCAGCTCCAGCAGAAACTCAAGGCTGCACTCATCTCACGTAAAGACACCCTGAAAGAAAACAAAATCCAGAAGGAGCAACTCGCATCTGCGGAGCAGCTCACTGAAGAGCTGAAGCAGAAACTGGAATCAGCAGAAGTTGAGCTAGAAAAGCTCAGAGCAGAAAGGTTGAAGCTGATTGAAGAAATAGATCGAATGTTACTGGAAAACCAAAGCCTTGGTTCGTCCTGCGAGAGCCTCAAACTGGCCATGGATGGTTTACTCACTGAGAAAAATGCCTGTAAGAGAGAAGCAGAGTTTGCAAAAGATGAAGTCGACAGGATTAGCAAAGAATGGCAGGAAAAGATTCAGAGCATGAAGGATGAGTACGAAACTCTGCTCAAGTCTTATGAGAACGTAAGTGACGAGGCGGAGCGAGTGAGACGTGTCCTGGAAGCTGCCAGGCAGGAGAGGCAGGAGCTGATGACCAAAGTCAGGACGCATGAGGTCGCAAAGCAAGAAGCTGACCTGCAGGCGCAGGAGGCGCGGAAGGAGGTAGATTTAGTGAAAGATAAAATGAGGAAATTTGCCAAAACAAAGCAGCAGAAAATCCTAGAGTTGGAGGAGGAGAATGAAAGTTTGAGAGAGATTCAGGAAAGGTCAGGAATGAAGCATGAAGACAGTCCCAGGACAGACGAGGTTGGAGGACTGGAAGAAGAGCTGCAGGCCTTAAAAGATGAATTGAATGACACGGTGTCAGAAAAAGTCTCTCTAGGAAAACTGGTCGAAGAACTGAAGGAGCAACTCCACCAAATACAAAAGAAGGAAGACGTCAAAGAGACTTCTGCAGCTGTCGTAGAAGAGGTTTTCACAGCCCAGAAATCTGAAGTTCTTTTCACAAAAGTGGACAAGGATCAATGTGATGACAAAGAAAGACCTCAAATTCCAGAAGATACTCCTGATCATCACATAACTGTCGTCACTACATCAGAAACACAGTCACGAACCACAGAGAACACTGGAGAGGAAGTGATGCAAAGTTCTCTCACCTTATTAGAAGATAAAATCAGGGAGATGGAGGCGACGTATACCAAAGACAAGTGTCAGTGGCAGCAGCAAGAAGCAGAACTTGAAGCTCAGCTCACCTCTCTTAGGCAAGAGCTTCAGGAAAGTCAAGAGAAGATCAGTTCTTTGGCTGCTTTAGAGAAATGTTTGCTAGAGAGCAAAGACAGAGAACAGAGTCTGATGGCAGAGGCTTCAAAGAGGGAAACACAGTTCAAAGAACTCCTCCAAATCCTGGAAACTGAGAAGGACAACCTTGAGGAGCGTCTCATGAACCAGTTGGCACAACTTAATGGAAGCATCGCCGGTTACCAGCAGGAACTGACACAAAACCGGGAGCAACTTGTTGACATGCAGCGTGAGGCAGAGAAGTTGGAGAGGGAGCGAGCCGAACTGGAAGCAGAGGCCCAGAGTGTGAAGGATCGGGCATGCAGGCTGGAGGAGGATGTAAGGCAGGCCCAGAGGGAGAGGGCTGAAGCTGAGGCCGAGTGTGGAAAACAGAGGGAGCTGGAGCAGCAGCTGAAATCAGCGGAGAGAGTCAGGGAAGGAAGCCAGAGCAGAGCACAACAACTGGAGGAGCTGCTGAAGGAGAAACAGACGGAGGTGCGACAACTGCAGAAAGAGAGTATACAGTACCAGGAGAGGATCAGTGAGCTGAGCAAGGAAACCAAGACACGGCAGCACAGCAACGATGAGCTCAGCAAAAGATTAAAACGATATCAACAAGAGGCGTCCACCAGCCAGGAGGATCTGAACAGGGTTCAGGCAGATCTGACCAAGTGTAAATCTCACCTGGATACCGCACAAAAACAGTTGAGTGACACTTTAGCTGAGAATGCTGCCATGGTGCAGAGCCATCAAAAAAGAATTGCTGCCATGAAAGAAGAGGCAGAGCAAACTCTGGATTCTGTGAGGTTCAGACTTGGGGCTGAACTGAAGGAACTGGAACTGAGACTAGAGGAGTCCGACAGAGACCGGGAAAAAGAAGAGGAGGCAACACTGAAGGCCAGAGAGATGACGGGCGTAGCTGAGAGACGAGCCCAACAGCTGCAGGCTCGTCTGGACGAGTCCCTGTCTCGGTTATATGCTTTTTCAAAGTCCATGTGTTCACTACAAGACGACCGGGATAGAGTGTTGGATGAGGCTCGGCAATGGGAGACGCGCTTTAATTCTGCTCTGCAGGTGAAGGAGGCTGAAGCCAGAAAGGCTGAAATAAAAGCAAGCGACCTGGCAGAGCAGCTGCAAAAAGAAATCACACTGAAAGAGGAACTCCAGCTCTCAGTGAACAGGTAAAAACACTACACTTTGTAAGATTATGCAACATAAAAGATTAAGTAAAAAAGGCATTATTTTATTTGTTTTTAGACTCGAGATGGCAGACAAAGACTGGCACTCGAAAATGGACGAGGAGAAAAAGAAAGTGACGGATCTCGAAGCCATCCTCCAGGAGGAAAGGAGTAAACTAGAACAAACCACATCTGAGCTGCACTCTGCAGAAACTGAAGTCCAGTCCCTGACTGGGGAACTGGAGGGGTTACGTCACAGGGTGAAAGCTCTGGAGGAGGCCGTGGGTCAGTTGCAGGAGGAAGTGCAAAAAGGCAGGACGGAGCTGAAGGAGAGGGAGTCGGAGGAGAGGAGGTTGTGTCTGAACGTGGAGCAGTTGGAGACAGACCTCAGGTCGTCAAAGGCCTTGACTGAAAGTCTACAGAGCGAGTTACATGAGAAGGAGGCGAAGGAGGTGGAAATGCTGGTGGAGAGGGAGCAGGCTGTAGCACAGGTCATTTTACATGCATTCTTCAGACCAGTGATATTGACTGTTTTACTAATATTTACTGTACATACATTTACACTAATGTATATATATTTGTACATACAGTATAGACATTCCTCCATTGTTCCCTGTTATAATGAATTTTACGGTGGATAGTTTTCATTTATATACTAATTTCAATAACTCTAAAGTACATTAGGATTAATGTGTTTGTGCTATTCGAATACAATTGACTTTATTTCATTTATTCAATGTTAATTTGTGTGTTTTATTCCAGGCTGCTGAAGAGGCCAGAAAAGAGGCTGATGCCCGTGCACAGTCGGCTGAGAAGGAGCTGGAGCAGAGACGAGCAGAAGTACGAGGTCTGGAGGACAAGCTGAAGAAGGCAGAAGAAGACAGCAAAAATGCAAAAGCCAAACTGGACTCTTTCACCAAGGCCATGGGTTCTTTACAGGGCGACAGGGACCGAGTCCTCAACATCTACAAAGAGCTGGAGGAGAAACACCTGCAGGTAAGTGAGTAACAAACACATTTTTTTAAAAACTGACTGAAAGTCAACTTTGCTGAAAGCAATTTTAATTTTATTTACCAGGTCATGATGGAGAAGGATGGTCTGATCCAAGAAGCTGCCGCTGAGAACAACAGCCTGAAGGAGGAGCTGCGCTCTCTGCTGGTCCAGAGAGACGACCTGTACGCTGAGAGAGCCAAGCTGTCAGCTCAGCTCCACGGTTATCGTGACGAACTCAATCAAGTCCTGAGCATGAAGGATTCCCAACACAAGCAGCTTCTGGCAGCGCAGAGGGAGCAGATCAACACTCTCGAACGGGAACGTGAGGAATTAGAAAACGAGTTGAAGGAGGTCAGGAGAGCCAGAGAAACACTAGAAGAAGCTGTGGTGAAGGTCGAAATGGAGAGTCTCAGTCAGGCAACTGAAGCTTCAAAGACACTTGATGCTCCTGGAGCAGAGGTGGAGAAGCTGAGAGAGCAGCTGCAGGCCGCCAGAGTACAGGTAGACGAGTTGGAGGAGGCTCTGGCGAAGGAGCGAGAGGGGCAGGACAGCCGAAACAAGGAGCTGGCTGAGCTGCGATGGGAGGGAGGCGTGATGAGGACAGAATCCGAGAGCGCTCAGGAGAGGGTGGCCGAGCTGGCCCGAGATCTGCTGGTGATGGAGCAACAGCTGCTGGAAGAGAAAGAGGCGACAACACAGCTGAGAGCAGAGAACCAGTCGTTCGCCAAAGCCATGGCCTCTCTCCAGGACAGCAGGGACCAGGCAGAGAGCAAAGTGGAGGAGCTGACCCAGAAGCTGAAGGAGATGAGCAAGGCAGGTGGACACGGAGGACATGGGAGTTCTGGAGGTTCCACAGGAGAAGTGTGGGGCCTGAAGAACGCCCTGCAGGCACTGCAGAATGACAGGGAGAGACTGGTGAGTGTTTATGACAAAACTACCAGGAGAATAATGTATGTTTTTCACTTTAATGTTTTTGTTGTTGTTAATATCTTTTATCTTTACTTGTAGTTGGAGCAACTTCAAACCCAGGAGTCTGAGCTGCAGAAGCAGAAAGTGGAGATGGCTCGGCTGGGAGCAGGAGAGCTCATCAAAATCAGCCAGGAGCTCTTCGAGGAGAAGAAGAAAAACGAGGACATCCTGGGGGTCGTAACGCAGCTGGAGAACATGATGGAAGAGGGCAAGCAGGAGGTGGAGACTCTGAGGTGAGACACAGGTCCTCCTACGTTCACACTGCAGACATCAGGGCCGGGCTGAGCCTCATTACAAATCTGCTCTTTCAGGCTGGAGCGTGTGGATTGGATGGCTCAAGCCGAGCAGCTGAAGCAGCAGACGCTCGCCACGCTCTCGGAGAGGGACCATCAGCTGAGACAACTCACAGCAATGCT